GAACTGGAGGTGCACCTAACAGTTCTGATGCTTTCACCATCAACAGTCGACCCGGTGATCTCTATCCATATTCTTCAAATCGTAAGTACTACCAACTAACATTTTATATTCCAAACATGTATGTCAATGTGACTCATTGAGTCCAATCTCTCACTTTTATATAACATATGGTTGTTTTTTTTTTCCTAGACACACATAAATTGATGGTGGTATAAGGAAAAACATATCTCCTACGCATCATCAATGCAGCAATGAATAATCAATTCTTCTTCAAAATAGCCAACCATAACTTGACAGTTGTTGCCGTTGATGCCACTTACACTACTCCGATGGTCACTGACTTCATTCTCATTGCTGCTGGCCAAACCACGGATGTACTTTTCACTGTCAACCAACCACCGGCCTCTTACTAAATGGCAGCACATAAATATGTTAGTTCACAAAATATAGCTGACAATTTCGCATCCACCACAGGGATCATTATCTATAAGAATGTTGTATCATTGACTCCACAAATGCCAGTCCTACCAGCCTTCGATGACACACCAACAGCCTACAAGTTCTCTACTAGTCTAACTGCACTTGTCAATGCACCTCATTGGGTTCCAGTCCCACTCAAAGCCAATGAACACATGTTTGTGACAATAAGCTTGGGCTTAATACCATGTGAAAGAAATAACACTTGTGCAGGGTTATTTGACCAAAAATCAGCTGCGAGCATGAACAATGCATCATTCCAGTTCCCTACCAAGTTGTCGATGTTGCAAGCCTTCTTCAACAATGTTGATGGAATCTACACCACCGATTTCCCTGATCAACCACCATTGGTTTTTAACTACACAAACTCAGACAACAAGCGCAATAGAACAATCATAATGACATCAAAGTCAACTAAAGTGAAGAAACTTAAGTTCAATTCAACTGTTGAGATGGTGTTGCAGAACACAGCCTCGTTGGGTATAGAGATGCATCTTATGCACTTGCATGGATTCAAATTCCATGTGTTGGCTCAAGGGTTTGGCAATTATGACCCAATAAACGATGCTAAAAAGTTCAATCTCATCAATCAACAAGCACGTGACACCACTGGCGTGCCAACTGGAGGGTGAGTTGTTATCAGATTTCAGGCAAACAATCCCGGTAAGTATTTATGATCAATCATTCGTGGCTTTATCATCTTAATACAATTTTAATATATATACCAACTATAAATGTTTCCGAAGGTTCATTTAGGAGTGAATGTGCTATACCACATTATTCCTAACTTGTACATAAGCTTTCGTATACTAAATTATGCTTTTTGAAAAATTTGATGGATATAGGTATATGGTTAATGCATTGTCGCATGGATGCACACTTGCCATGGGGTTTGTCGATGGCTTTTGAGGTAGAGAATGGGCCAACACCATCAACTATATTACCTCCCCCTCCACTAGATCTACCCCAATGTTAAGACTTGTTTTACGTTGTTCTTTTTTTATAATAATTTGTGTATGTTTGTTTCATTTTTATTTTATTTTGTGTTTCAATATATTCATTACAATAGCCATGTAATAAAGTTTTTCAATAACTTACTCTTTCAATTGTATTAAGTTTGCATTCTTTCGAATAAAAATAATATTACAATTTTCATAATTCCTGGCCAAATGAAGCTTGGTTTGATTTACAAGTTTGCTTTTTAGTGGGCTATTTGTCTTATTATTATTTTTAAATAATTTTACCAAATGTAAAAGTAAAAGCCTGGTATAAAATATACAAGAGAAAAAAAAAAACAATTAAAAAAGAGAGAATGATCAGTAAAATACAATCCAACCATCTTAAGTATTCTAATTACGTCTCCAAATAAACCTCTTAAACAATTAAACAAAAAAAAATATTTATAAAAAAAAAACAAAGAAAGTCCAGGCCCAAGTGGATTTTTGAACTACCCAATTATAGCAACTTAAGTGTTTTGAGTTTTCTTCCTTTGATACCCATAAAATGAAAATGACACATGCAATGGGAGAGAAAACCCAAAAAGAAAAAACTCGATTTGCCTCCATAGGATTTGATAGTTGAGTTTTGGGCTACTGATCCATCACGCATTGTAATTAGAATATTTGGATCATTCAATTTTTAAGTTTTTTTTTTTGAAAAATGTTTGAGGGCCACAATTTTTGTGGCTCAAATGGTTCAAAATTGTCAAAACGACGTCGTTTTGACAATTTTGAAGTTGTTTTGTACTCAAAACGACGTCGTTTTAACAATTTCGAGCCATTTGAGCCACAAAAATTGTGGCCCTCAATCATTGCTGTTTTTTTTTATATATCATTCTCGAAAAGAAAAGCATTCGACGAGTCATATAATTGTAATGTATTTTTCTTTAAAATATGGATGATAAATATAACTTAAAAATATAGCTTCTATTTTTTTTTTTTAGAAACAAATAATATGGAAAAAAAATAATTCTATATACCCACCTCAACTATACCAAATTTGTATGGATGATAAATATAACTTAAAAATATAGCTTCTATTTTTTTTTTTTTTAGAAACAAATAATATGGAAAAAAAAATAATTCTATATACCCACCTCAACTATACCAAATTTATCGCGTGATTGAGATTGAATTTGTATAGTGTGAGGTACATATATAGAATGAATTTGAATCACAAAATAATAATTCTGGATAATTTTTAAGTATTTAAGTCTGAATTTGTAATATTACTCTTAAAAAATGTATAATTCAAATCATCAAAGTGATACTCGCAATCTGCCCACAAGTCCAAATTGGCTTGCCCAGCCAAGCCGATTGCATGGTGCCATTTTGGGGGATTCTATTTGAACCCAAAATATGTCTAAGTATGCCTAAGTTAAATTCTTAAATTTTAATTTCTATTATATCCTAATATAAATTTACTAATAAGAGCAACATATATTAGATCCTAAAATATTTTTTCCTTCATGATATACCTTAACTAATTATTCCTATTCAAATCTCTATATTTTCTTTCCAAAGAGATCAAAATTATTTTTTTTCTTCTTCTTTTTCGTCATCCTCCCTCCAAAATTCCAATCCACCTTATCAAAACTCACCACCATCATCAATATCATTATTTTTTATTATGTTGAAACCCTAAACCCTAAAAGAAAGTTTTGACAAAATCAAATAATGGATGAGAGTAATAATCAAAATAGTTTTTTGAAACAACCCATTAAAAACGAGGTAAGTATTCATAGAAAGGGGTTTCACAATTTTTGTAGAGCACCATCAATTATTTTCTATATCATTTTTTTGACAAAAATTAAAGGGCCCAGTAGTTAAATTAATAATAACATATTATTAGAGTTGTTCTTATTTTATTATTTAAATAGTACATTATTTGAGAAATACTTTTTTTTGGTTAGTGTCGGATGCTTATGTGCTTATAAGTTTAGGGATGAATTATATTAATGGTCCCTATAGTTTGAAACTTGTGTCATTTTGGTCTGTAACTTTTCAATTGTGACACATTTGACCCTAAATTTTGAATCATGTTTCAAATAAGGACAATTGAAGATATCATTACTTAATTTCAAGGGCAAAATCATTAATTTGATAAAATTTAAACTAATTTGACAAACATAAATGTCAAAAAAATATTTTTGAATTTTAAAAAATTATGTCTACCTACTAAAGATAAAATTATGTAAAATTGATAAATTTCTTAGACATTTATTTATTTACCAAATTAATTTTTATTATGTGTTTGAATGATGATCATGTAATGGGTAATTATTTTTATTTTCATTAAATTAGTTTCTATTTTTTCAAAAGTCAAATATGACGACAACTTTGATATCATTATTAAACCAATCCATTAAATCAAAAAATCCAAAACTAAAAATAATTCATATATTAAATATATCGATTACACATTAAAATCTGAACAACTACTCATTACATGATCATCATCCAAATATATAATAAAAATTAATTTGGTAAAATAAATAAATGTCTAAAGATTTATCAATTTTACATAATTTTATCTTTGGTTGGTAGATATAATTTTAAAAAATTTAAAAATATTTTGACATTTATTTTTGTCAAATTAGTTTATATTTTATCAAATTGACAATTTTACCCTTGAAATTAAGCAATGATATATTCAATTGTCCTTATTTTGAACAAGATTCAAAATTTAGGATTAAATGTGTCACAATTGAAAAATCATGGACTAAAGTGACACGAATCCCAAACAATAGGGATTGTTAATTTAATTCGTCCTAAATTTGGTTTTTACTTTTTTACAAGCATTTTTGTGAATAATTTATAACATGAAAGTTTTTTTTCCTGTTTTAAAAAGTTTTAATGCTTATGTAAAAGTTATGTTTTTTTTTTCTGTATTTATAATGCGTATGTGCTTATAAGTTTGGTTTTTTTTTTTTTCTTCTTCTATATTTGAGAATTATTTTATGTATTGAAATTTTTTTGAAATAATTTAATTTTTTTAGTTTGTTTATTATTTATTATTTGAATTTACATTAAGAATAATTTAAAAAAAATAATAAGATGTAATAAGAATAAAATAAAATTTTAAATAATTAAATAAGATATATTTAAAAATTAAAAATACTTAATAATTTTTTCAGTGTGAATATTAATTGGCTTCACTTATCCAGTTTGGCCCCGTAAGACTACTATCATGGTTCATATTTTAATAATTTGATTAAATTATTTTTTAGATTTTAATGTATAGATATAAAAAAAATTATATTAATTCAATAATTATAATTCATGATTTAATCACATTTGTTTATAAATAAATGAATGACAAATATAATTATAATTCATGATTTAGGTCAAGTTTGGTAACTTAAAAATAATCTATTTTTTTATCTTTTTTTCATCACATTATCTCTCTATTTTTCTGCACATCTTTCGTAAAAAGATAAAAAATACACTTTTTTAGGTCATCACAAACAACCCCTTAATCACATTTGCTTATAAAAAAATGAATGACAAATATAATTTTTAAAATTGACCGTTTCTTTTTTTCGAAAATAAATGTTATTAAAATTATCAGAACATTTTTTTCTCTCTCTTCCTCAGAGAGAGAGAGAGAGAGAGAGAGAAGGGTTTCAAATGGTCCTCTCTCGTCTCCTTCAAGTAAAATCAAGACTCCATTTGCAAAGAATCGGTAAAATACCCATTTCAGACCATGTGATTCTCTACATTTTTTTATTTTTTTTCTTCTTAAAATCGATTACAGTAGTTTTTGATAGTATTGCTTGCAGGACTTGTGAAAGCAACAAGACTGTGTAGCTCTTCTTCTTGTTCTAATGCTGAGATTGGGAATTCGAAGAAACCTGGTCTGTCGAAGGAGCAGAGGGCGGTGGCTGTGGAATCATTCGTGAAAAAGTGAGCTTCTTTTGAAAAAAAAACCCCATTACGATAATCTATAAAGTGTTGAATTTAAGTTTGATTTGTATTATGATTGATAGCTTTAAATCTATGTTAGTGTTTGATTCACTAGAATAAAGGTACAATGGAATGGAGGATTTGATGGGAGAAATAGAAAGGGAAAGGGAAATAGATAGAACAAGAGAAAGAATAGGATTCAAATTCTCTCACTTTCTTTTCCCTTATGTTTTCTATTATAATCAAACAAAAAGTGGGATTGTATTTTCTTTTCCATTTCTATTTCTCTTATCAAATCCTCTAACCAAACACAAGTGATCAGAAAATGGAATTTGCTGAAAATAAATAGTTTACATTTTTAGAAATTTTTTTTTCCCCAACTCAGATAAATCTGTTCGTGTGCATACTCACAAGCACGGGGCACACACACACGCCCCTGTCTGTGTATATAAAACTGTGGTGGTTTTTGTGTGGGGAAAAAAATTGGACTTAACACTGTTGTTGAAGAGATCAACTAAGAGATGATGAACCTGCCTTCAACCTGTAAAACAAGACAGTGTTGGTGCCCCGTCGGCCCGTGCCGAGTGGGCATTCTGATGCCTAAGTTAGAACAACTTCAATGAATGTAATAGTAAAATGATTTACTATGTATATAAAAGTGTGTTATTGTCTTGTTGTCTGTCTTACGTTGTGGAGATTGTGTCATTTATATATAGCATGGATGGCTCCATCCACTTGTATAGTTGAGAGATGCTCCTCAATTTCCTCAACCATAATGGCCTAACAAACTAGCATGATTATGCCACGTGTCCATGATAGGCTATGTTGTTTTTTGCTCCCACATTTTTGTTAGCTCTATGAACAATGTTGGATTCTGAAGTGTAAATGTGTTGATTTGGGCTCAATTAGACAAAAGGAGACAATATAGTGAGAATATTAAATGAATTGAGTGCCATAAAGTACAAAGATTGATGTTGTTCATGGGAAAATAGAAGCAAAAGTTTAACTAGAATAACAGAAACTAAAACAACTTGGATATTTCTCAAAATCCAACCACAAGTGTATACAAACAAACAAAAAAACTGAGTGTGAGACACCCAATATCAATATTGGCATATTCAGATACAATTTTTGTGTCTGTGCCTTGTGTCTGTGTCTATGCCACTGAAGCTTTAGTGATGCTTCACTTTGCAATTAATCAGGTTTTAGCATCATTAGCCCATTTGAAAACTTTCACAAGAGGCCTTATGAATGCCTCTTCTTTAACGTCTCAAGCTGATTCAACTGCTGCTTAAAGTTCAGCTGAGGTGTGTATGAGTATTGACCCTATCTGCATATACCCGTGAGCTTTTTGTCATTTTTCATTACTGCAACTGGATTCATATCCGAAACAAGTTATTTTACTTAGGCAGTGTTTGGTTCACTGGAATGAAGGTGGATTGGAATGGAATGGTCATTCCTTAGCCTCGGAATGACTATTGCCTTACAATTTTGAATGATGATTCCATTTGCAATGCATTTTTTATAATTGTTTTAGTGAACCAAACATGAGAATGGACATTTTGATGAAATGATCAATCCATTCCACCTCATTCCAATCAACTAAAATAACATAAGTATAGGCTCTCTGATGCCCTTTTTGTTGTCATGGTTGAATTTACACAGATATATGGAAGCGCATCCAGGGATTTTCCCTAAACCAACACATGTCCAAAACAACGTGGGAGGATCATGGTACACTCTGAAAGACATTCTCACCAAGATAAAGGAAAAGTTGCTGGAAAATTCTCAACTCCAAAATCGCACTACCAGTGATACATCAGATTCTACAGTTGATGCAACAACTTCTGAGATTATTACAACTCATAATAGTAAAGGTAATAGTGAACTTGGCAAGCCCACAAGTACAGTGATCAATTCTGAATGTAATAACAACATTTCATCGACTGCAACATCTTGTATGTTGGAGGAAAACTTTTCCAAAAAAATAATCAATGCAACAGCTTTTGAGATTGTTCAGACATGTGGTATTGCAGATCATACTGAACTTTGTGAATCTGAAAGTATAGTTCAATCATTAAAGTCCTTGGTGAATTCTGAAAACAATGAGAAGAATACTACCCATGTAACGTCTAACATATCAGAGGAATGTTCTTCTCCAGACGCTGTCAATCGAGAAGCTTTCAAGGTTATTAGGATGCATAATTATGCAGATTCTCTAAAGCATGCTGAACCTGCATGTAAAGTTCAGTTGTCTGAAGCTGAAGTGATTTCTCGCAGTAATGAGAAGGATATTTCAACGGGTAAAGAGAAGAATAATAGTGAATTTGGGGAACCTATTGTTCCATCATCCAAAACCTCATTGAATACTAATGACAATGAGAAGAATACTACACCTTCGATATCATTTGATGGTGCCCAAAAGATTTCAGGGTTAGCTGATCTTTTCATGAGGAGAATGAATAATCGAGCAGCAGGGCAGATGACTGGTGAAAAGGATGATAGTGTGACGATCAATAGTCCTGAATATTCAAATGAAGCAACAAGAAGGGATATGGTAAAAAGTTTTGATATAAAGAGTTTAATTGACTGTCTTAAGGAGCACCGTAAAGAGCAATCTATTATTAAATCTCATGACAATATGGGTATGGAGAGCAACAACTTCAAGGAAAGTGGGGGTGATCCAGGTACAAGGGTTCCCTTCAATGTGTCTAGTACAAATTCTAAGAGTGGGGATAAGGAAGAAAGTGATGCAGATATTGCAGCCTTTGATTACATAGAGTCGAAACCAAGCCCACAGGTTCCACTTCTAACGAGCAAAAAATACTTAAATAATACTTAGGATGCATTTCTTGGCTTAAAAAAAATCTGCCGGAAAGAAAATCTTAATGAGGTTCTGCTATAAACATATAAACCAAACACAGAATGGAATGGAATACAAAGTACATATGAATGGACAATATTTTATAAAATTTGTTGTTAGGACCCACTTTGAGAAAATCTTATCCATCCATATGCATTTTGTGTCCAGTTATGTAATCGGTTTCTCTGTTTCTAGACTTATTCTTCTAACTGTTGCAGTTGGTTCTATTGCAGACAAAGGAAGGGATGCAGAATGTTATTGTTGAAGCAGCTAGTTCCACTGAGAATCTGCCTAATAAAACTTCAATTCCTAACCTGATTGGTGATCCTGATGTTCCTAGCTCATTAGTGAAGAATCCCACCCGAACAGTGATGATCAAGCAGTTGACCCCTGACATAAGGTCACATGATATTGAAGAAGCCCTTGCTTTTTGTGGGAGCAATATATCTGGCATTTTCTTTGGTTCTTCAAGTTTTGTTGCTTATGTGGAATTCGAGGTGAGTTTTTCATACAATTCTCTGACTTGCTATACCAAATCAATGCGTTGTGTCCTTATCAATTGGGGTCAGCTACATGAATATTTCTTCTCATTCTACTTTGTCAAAGACTATATTCTCAATTAAATAAAATTAACTTATATATCATGTTTTACTACAACATCCATGTTAATTTGGATCCTTTCCTTCCTTGGCATTTTCATTAACTATAGAAATAGTCGTATCATTCTTCCTTATTGTTGTATCGACTTCTTCATTGTACATGGCCAAAACCATCTTAGTTTGTTCTCTCACAACTTATCTTCAATTGGTGCTACTCTTACCATTTCATGAATGTATTCAATTGTAATTCTATCTTTCCTGATTGTACCATGCATCTATCTTAACATCATCATCTCAACTACATTCATTTTATTAATTTGTTTCTTAGTTGCCTAAGATTCTATTCCATAAAACATTATTGGCCTATAGTTGCTCTATAAATTTTCCCTTCAATTTGATTTATGGGTCACATAATTTTCAAACTCTCCATCTTTGTTAGCAATCGAAACTAGATAGCGCAATTATTCCCTTTTTGGTCTCCTGGTTTTTTATATTCACTTCTCTGTTATTTCTACTTTTATTACGACTAAAGTTAAATTTCATTTATTCAGTTTTAGTTCTTATTTTCAACCCTTTTGACTCAAATAGTTTATCTTCAAATTTTTGATTTAGTGTTAATTCCTCTTTTAGTTTCATCAACTAGGACTATCATATCTACGAACAACGTAGACCTTGAGATATCATTCTAAATGTGTACTGAATTCATCTAAAAGGGCAAATAGGTAAGGACTAACGGTGACCTTTGACTCAATTCTACAGTAACTATAAATTCATTTGTTTCTTCTAGATGGGATCTAACTGTAGTCATAGTCCCATCATATGTGTCATTTATTGCATTAATATACCCCTTTGTCACTTCTGTGACACCTGCCATATTAAATCTTCAAGCACCTTACCATAAGTGTCTTTTTATTTAATCTATAAAAATCATATGAAGATCTCTCTTCTTATCTCTATATTTTTCTATTAGTGTAATTCGTAAGTATATCACTTATGAATCCAAATTGATTTTATAACATTGTTGTTGCAACTCTTTTAAGCGTTGCTCAATCACTCTCACAATTTTATTTTATGACTCATCAACTTAATACCTTTATAATTGTCTTTGTAAAATACTTTTTCTCCACTTATCATACATTTTCTAAGTAATTGTAATCTTATTAAATAACTTTGTTAACCGACATACCCTTGGAATATTTTTTTAATGAATTCTGCCATTGTATGCCACATATTATTAGTTTCATCTTCTAAATTCCAGATTGTTTCTATAAACATTTTGTCCTTGAAACATTTTGGATTCCACCATCTAATTCGTGGGTTTCTACTTATTTTCAAGGTTCGATGTTCTACATTTTCCCATCTATTTTGCCATCTTAACTGTGAGGAAAAGTTGTATTCGAAAGCACCGAAAAGTTGTTTTTGAAGTTTTGGAAGTTTTCATACAAACATGAAAAAGATGATTTCTTTTTTAAAAAAAAAAAAATGAAATTTCGTAGTTTTGTTTCTGATAACAAGAAAAATGAAAATGAAGAACAGAAAACAGAAAACGAAAACACAACCAAACAGTCATGCTTGAATTTGTTTCAACAACACTAACAAAAAGTGAGGTTTGGACATGTTTATTTATCAAGTCATTTATGCCTGGTAGTGTCAATTGCTTGACAGACAGAAGATGCCAAAGAAAGGGCACTTGAAAAGCATTCGATAAATGTACGTGGCAAACAACTATTGATCTTCAGAATTGATGTACCAAGGACAACAGTTGTGAGGATTTCGAATCTGTACTCAGCGGAAGCCAAAAAGAAACTCTTTTCCATATGCAGGAGTTATGGGAAGGTCAAGGTTGTAGTTTTTAGACACAAGGAAATCAGGGATGTGCATTTCATGCTTTCTGAATGGCCAAACATGTTAAAGATTCTTAACAGGTGAGTGCATACGCATTTTTAAGAAATTTTCAGTGTCATTGTGCATTAAAAGGGTTAATGTACTGTCGGTCCCCATAGTACACGCTCTGTTTCATTTTGGTTTCCGATGTATCAATTGAGTTAATTTTGGTCCCAACTTATCCAATTTGTGTTGGAAATGGTCCCAATGCTTTTTCCATCCAAATTTGGAGAACGATACCTCTGCTTCTGTTACAAAATTTTGATGAGGTATTGTGACAATTTTGGACCATAATGGAAGCAAAGGTAATGTTCAAATTTGGATGGAAACAATGTTGTGAGCATTTAAACACAAATTGGCCAAGTTACAGATTAAATTGACACAATTAAAACATCCTATGACCAAACAGACACAAAACTCAGAACTTTGGGACCAAAAATGTATTTAACTCAACTTCTGCTGTGTGTGTGTTTCCATATTCAGATTAAATGGATTGAAGGTAGATGATTGCCGGATAATTGCTCAGCCAGCACTGGTCTTTCCTCCAGAGGTTCTCCGTGTTCTATGGAGTCACCCGGATGAAAGACAGCGTCTAGAAACTAAGATCTGGATGAAAACCCTCCTATACACAAGGTTGACAACTGAATAATTATAGAATAGATTGTTACAAATTTTGATCCCACAAAAGTAGATTTGTTGTTTACCAGGGAAATCTTCTTCTATGACCCAGTTGGATTAGTTCATTTATAGAGATTTAAATGTAGCAGGACAATGCTTAACTGAGTTAATTGAAAGATGTATGGATCGAAGGCTTCTACTCTTTTTAGGGTAATGTACAGTCAGTGGAATTTCACTGTTAGATCTTCTCATTTGTGATTTTTTTTTTTTTTTAAAATATTTAAATCTTGAATTTGTGGAGGAAAAAAGAGAAAGGAAATGAAATTTACTTGTATCAATTTACTTTTCTATGGGTAATCAAATAAAAAATGGATGGTTTGTTTTTTTTTTGGCGAGGAATTGTCTCCTTTTTCTTCTAGTTTTCATAGCCCCTTCAAATTTGCGTGATACTTTGATCTGAGCTTCGGGAGAGGTGGCGGAATGGATTGATCATAAGATAAAATTAGGCGGGCTAATTTAAGTTTACAACCCACCGTTAACTAGACCCAACCGGCTTATGTCATATACAGGTTATGTTAGTTTGATAGACCAACCCATTAACCCTAAAGAGTTCCCAAGCCCAAACCGTTTTGTTTTCACTTTTTAAGATTTATTTTGCGTGTTTTTTTTTATTTTTTTATATTTTTACTGATTATTTTTAATATTTTGAATAATTTTTTTAATTTTGAAATACACTTAATATAAATATATTTAAAAAATGTAATATTTCTGAATTTTTTTTAAAAAAAAATTTCTAAATATTAAAAATAGAAATATATATATATATATTCAATATATTTTCATATTTTTGTGTATTTGTTAATTTTTTTAATTATTTTTTTACAAATATTTTACTTCTTAAATATATCAAAGTGAAATTCATTTTAAAAAGTAACAAAATTACTTAAAATTAAAAAAGATTCACTAAAAAAATTTTAAAAAAAATACAGTAAATAAAAAAACTCAATTTTAAAAAAATTAAAGTAAAACAAATTGCCTAGAGAAATGCACCATCCAACTTACTGATTTTGATTATAAGCGAGTTCGCAGCAGGTGAAAAAACTCACCAAAACAGGTTTGATTTGAATATTATTCCTAACTCAACCCTTGCACGCCCTCCTTACAACTAAAACAATTGCCGAAATAGATATTTCATATTTCCCAAAGGAATCTGAATCGTCATTTTAAATAAAATCAGAAAAGGCCTTCAAAATTTTCACTTCAATTGCCAGTATCAAATGAAGACCCATCTTCCAGAGAAGATACATTCAACATTTGAGAAAGACCCTGAATTGCATATCAAAACCTCAACAGCAACGTCTTCCAGAGACAGATTCAACATCTGTACCTCAGCTCTGAGAAAGGCCTTGTATTGCATAAATTGCAGGAAAAGTTCAGAATTGAACCACATGCATGCCCCCATCTGTATGCAATGCGCCGCTGTAGGTATTTAACTGATTCAATTGGATGTTAATCAGTACCTCACAACTATCAAGCTTCCCAAGTAACACTCCCATTTAGCAAGCGCGCTCTAGGAGCACATGGGTAAATGAAGCTTAAACAAAAAACAGAATCAAACCAAAAAAAGATAAACTGGCAACAGAACACAAAAAGTTCTCATTAAGACTTTAAACTCTCTGAATCACTCTTAATCAGTAAGAAACAAATGAAAACTAGACAACAGTACAAATTGTGAAAATTCATAACAAAATTGGGGATTCCATAGAAATGTAATATGCTTTTAGGCTGCGTTCTGCTTTTTCAGCTTTGCAAGCTCTTGTCTGATCAGACCACCCCTCTGCACATGCATAATTTATTTAGTCTTATTAACTAGTTCAACATGTAAAAGGAATACAAAGTGCTAAATAGGGAGAGATTCTTCAAACAAATTTTTGCGATTATATCAGACAACCAACCTTGATTTTTGCTAACATGAGCTTGAACCTATCAAAATCATTAAGAGCAGCTCTTCTCTTTTGCACAATCAGCTTTCTGCCCCAGGAGCTATTTTCCCACTTGTTCTTAACATCTGCCATCACACAAATGCAGTTAAATCTGATATATAGTGCCCAACTAGAGAAAGAAAAAAATCAACTTTTTATCAGTCTTTACCTGCAGCCTCCATCGCTGCAACTAGTGTCTTCTTCTTTGGGACCCTTTTGATGTCAATTGTGATGTCTGTGAGAGAGAGCCTCTTAAAGTTCATTTGACATCTCACCATGTCAGGGGCATCAACAAGAGCCTGCAAAGGCATTACATGAAAAATTACTAAGATCAGTGATGAATGCTTTGTAAAATGAAGAGGAACAGTTTCAAGGTGGAAAAGAGGTGCAATTCGTAAAGGTACTGCCAATGTGTCTTGTATCTAGGTCAACATCAGGATAATGAGTATATGCCCAAAAAAAAACATCATTATGGGAGTGCCAAATACATAAGCATGTCATGTTAGGGCATCTCCGGCCATTACTCTTTACCCATAACCAGTGTTTTTAAAAGCTCAAGGCACACTAAGGTGCTGAAGGTCTCTCAGGGCCTAGGCGCAAGGCGAGGCGCAGGCTTTATTGAAGTAAGGCGCACAGTCTTAGGGTTGGTTTGGCATAACCTAAAAAAGCCAAAAAGCTAAAAAGTCACTATCCTATTTAAGTCACATCATCTTATTTAAATCATATCACCTCTCTAACACATCACATCAAATCCAACCCAAACTCAACTCATATAAGCCAATAAGTCAAAAAGTATACTTTTTTATAACATCCCAAACAAACCCTTAGTAAAAAATAAAAAAAATTAACATAGACTAATCATTGTGTAATGTAAGTGTGATTAATTATGTGATGTAATGGAAAATAATATGTAATGAAAAATTAAACATTAGCATAGTGTATTAATTAATGAAAAATTAAGTAATACAATGTAATGGAAAATAATGTAATGTAATGTGTCAATTTAAAAAATAATTAATTTAATGTAATGTAATGTGTCAATTTAGAAAATAATGTAATGTAAAAAAAACAAAGACCAATAGCAGTGTGTTAATTAATTATTTGTAAAAAAAAAATTATTTTGTATTTCTTTAACAGAGACCAATTTATTTTGTAATTGAAAAAAATACAATTTATTTTGCAATTTATTTTGTAACAGAGACCATAAATAATTTATTAAAAAAAAAAAAAAAACAGAGCAGAGCAGAGCAGATTGGATTGCTCAGCGAAGGAGAGAAAAAGAAGAAGAAGAAAAAAAAATAAAATAAAATGACCATCAGATCAGACGATCGAAGTCGAAGAAGGGAGAGAGAGAGACGATCGAAGTCGAAGAAGGGAGAGAGAGAGACGATCGAAGTCGAAGAAGGGAGAGAGAGAGACGATCGAAGTCGAAGAAGGCAGAAGGGGAGAGAGAGAGTCGAACGAAGTCGAAGAAGCCAGTCAAAGAAGGTAGAAGGGGAGAGAGAGAGAGAGTCGATCGAAGTCGAAGAAGAAGGCAGATTAGGGCGTAAACATCAGTCGCACCTAGGCGCGAGCCTTGCGCCTCTCTCGCCTGCTTCTAGTCGCGACTAAGGCACGCAACTTCTTCAACGCGCCTCGCCTAGGACCAGTTCAGTTGCACAGGCTGCGCCTCGATGAGCCTTGCGCCTAGGCGCGTGCCTAGGCGCGCTTTTAACAACACTGCCCATAACAAATTTAAATGAGTAAAAAAATCCCCAAAACCCTATCCACTCCCTTACAAACTTGTATAAAAATGAGTTTGATTATTCATTTTTTCTTTTTTTACTCAGATCAAGGGAGAGAAAACTTTAGTCAATTTTTTCAAGGTTGTTTGGTGGCTTTCAAATTTAGTCTATTGTTCAAAAGCATGACTCCAGCAACGACATAATAGGGTTGAAACAACCATATAAGGTATCAATTTCATTATTTGGCTTTCATTTTCCCTCAGATAGAGCCATATTACAAAAGAAGATTTAATAGTAATACTAGTAAGTTTTCCATATTAAGATTGACCTGTCTATGTGATGTCTTAATATGCAGAAGATACAGAGCCAACACATATGTATTTGTTAATTTTTTTAATTATTTTTTTACAAATATTTTACTCCTTAAATATATCAAAGTAAAATTCATTTTAAAAAGTAACAAAATTACTTAAAATTAAAAAAGACTCACTCTTAAAAAAATACAGTAAATAAAAATACAGTAAATAAAAAAACTCAATCTTAAAAAAATTAAAACTAAACAAATTGCGTAGAGAAATGCACCATCCAACTTACTGATTTTGATTATAAGCGAGTTCGCAGCAGGTGAAAAAACTCACCAAAACAGGTTTGATTTGAAATTATTCCTAACTCAACCCGTGCACGCCCTCCTTACAACTAAAACAATTGCCGAAATAGATATTTCATATTTTCCCAAAAGAATCTGAATCGTCATTTTAAATATAATCAGAAAAGGCCTTTAAAAATTTCGACTTCAATTGCCAGTATCAAATGAAGACCCATCTTCCAGAGAAGATACATTCAACATTTGACAAAGACCCTGAATTGCATATCAAAACCTCAACAGCAACCTCATCTTCCTGAGACAGATTCAACATCTGTACCTAAGATCTGAGAAAGGCCTTGTATTGCATGAGAACTTCCACCACAAACCAAGGCCCTAAATTGCAGGAAAAGTTCAGAATTGAACCACATGCATGCCCCCATCTGTATGCAATGTGCCGCTGTAGGTATTTAACTGATTCAATTGGCTGTTAGTCAGTACCTCACAACTATCAAGCTTTCCCAAGTAACACTCCCATTTAGCAAGCGCGCTCTAGGAGCACATGGGTAAATTAAATGAAGCTTAAACCAAAAACAGAATCAAACCAAAAAAAGATACACTGGCAACAGAACACAAAAAGTTCTCATTAAGACTTTAAACTCTCTGAATCACTCTTAATCAGTAAGAAACAACTGAAAACTAGACAACAGTACAAATTGTGAAAATTCATAACAAAATTGGGGATTCCATAGAAATGTAATATGCTTTTAGGCTGCGTTCTGCTTTTTCAGCTTTGCAAGCTCTTGTCTGATCAGACCACCCCTCTGCACATGCATAATTTATTTAGTCTTATTAACTAGTTCAACATGTAAAAGGAATACAAAGTGCTAAATAGGGAGAGATTCTTCAAACAAATTTTTGCGATTATATCAGACAACCAACCTTGATTTTTGCTAACATGAGCTTGAACCTATCAAAATCATTAAGAGCAGCTCTTCTCTTTTGCACAATCAGCTTTCTGCCCCAGGAACTATTTTCCCACTTGTTCTTAACATCTGCCATCACAGAAATACAGTTGAATCTGACATAGAGTGACCAACTAGAGAAAGGAAAAAATCAACTTTTTATCAGTCTTTACCTGCAGCCTCCATCGCTGCAACTAGTGTCTTCTTCTTTGGGACCCTTTTGATGTCAATTGTGATGTCTGTGAGAGAGAGCCTCTTAAAGTTCATTTGGCATCTCACCATGTCAGGGGCATCAACAAGAGCCTGCAAATATATTACATGAAAATTACTAAGATCAGAGATGAATGCTTTGTAAAATGAAGAGCAACAGTTTCAAGGTGGAAACAAGGTGTAATTTGTTCAGGCACTGCCAATGTGTCTTATATCTAGGTCAACATCAGGATAATGTGTATATGCCCAAAAAAAACAACATTATGGGAATGCCAAATAAATAAGCATGCCATGTTAGGGCATACTCTTTACCCATACATATCAAATTTAAATGAGTAAAAAAATTCCCCAAAACCCTATCCACTCCTTTACAAACTCATATAAAGATGAGTTCGATTACTCAATTTTTCTTTTTTTACTCAGATCAAGGGAGAGAAAATTTTACTCAATTTTTTCAGAGTCGTTTGGTGGCTTTCAAATTTAGTCTAATGTTCAAAAGCATGACTCCGGCAACAACATAATAGGATTGAAACAACCATATAAGATATCAATTTCATTATTTGGCTTTCATTTTCCCTCAGATAGAGCCATATTACAAAAGAAGATTTAATAGTAATACTAGTAAGTTTTCCATATTAAGATTGACCTGTCTATGTGATGTCTTAATATGCAGAAGATACAGAGCCAACACATAACTTTCTGTCGAATTACATTTAAAAATTATGATCCCTGCCTATTTCACATGCCAAAATTGAAATTCTACACTTCCAAAATCATAAGCAAATTATACATGATCTCAAACTAACTCATCCAAGAGTGAAGGGAATTCATCAAAAGTCTGTCTTTCAGGAAAACAAATGTTTTGGAGACCATAAAACTTATTGTTATCAGTGTTATACCAATTTTCATAAATAAAACTGAGTGTACTTATTTTAAAATTTAAATATCGCAAGAAAAAAACTGGCCGATCAACACAAAAATGTTCCCCCAGGACACAGTATACTTGATATGATTTGTCAAGTCTACCCATTTAATGTCTACTACAACATATCAAAAGTGGCCACAAAAACACTGTTTAGATAAACAACAGAGAGACCAGAAAGTACAGCACCGCCTTTTGTGACCGAACCATTCATGACACTGAAAAAGTTAACAATATTTTCAATAAATGAAACGTCACCACCATAAACAAGCAAATTTTTATAGCTGTTTAGCCACCAATGACTCACAAATTTTATAACCTCAATTTTAACGATCATATTAATGTTTTTGTTTTTGCACCTCCAACCTACTGAAATCTATGCTATAAAATAGATATTAAACCCATAATTTCTTCCATAAAATTTATTATACTAGATGGCAAATTAAACATGAAAGCATCGAGTTATCGTCATCATGAACAAAAACACAACGCAATGCTTGATTTCACAGTGATATTTACCAATACATTCAAATGAGCATCTAAGAACACTGTAAACATTTTCTTTAATTTTCCTTAGTTTTCTCAGCAACCAAACAAAAAAAGAAACATTACTCTGTTCTGGTCGAGAACGTCGACGATGACGACGAGCCTCCCATAGTCCTTGCCGTAGTTCACAAGGGCGACCCTCCCGATCTCGACGTAACGCTTGAACGGCTACACAAAATCAAATCACATAAAACAAATCAAATCAACAACCACAATTCGAAGTTGAAGAATTCAGAAATTACAAACAAATCAATAGATCAGAGAGAGAGAGAGCCACCATTTCGGGCTAGGGTTTTTTACAAGTGACCAGAGAGAGAGGCGGACTAGAGAAAATGAAGGTTGAGCAGAGCTTGGGTTTTGAGATAGTTTTATAGTGTATTATGGACCGTCCGATCTAGGGTTGATAGATCGGAATTGCTGTACAGGGTCGGGTATTTATGTCCTCTGGGGCCCGGGTTTGGGTCATTATGAGATGATTCACTAGTTTTCTAAGGAAAAAAAATAATAATTGAATGAAAATTGTAAATTACAAATACATCATCTTTAAAAATTACATTTCGTCTGTTCAAATTTCTAATCGCCTAACAAGTTACTCATTTTTTTATTAATAAATTATTTTGTTAATTAATAATTTTTAATAATGTCATAAATATTTTTTAATTAACAATTCTAATAATTTTATTATTGCATAAAAGAATGGTTAGAAATTTTTTTCTATTAAATAAAAAAGTTTTGACAAGAAAACATTTGTAATTTTCAAAATTAAAAGGGATAATTCGTATTTTAAAGAAATTTTAGGCAGTGTATTTGTAATTTACCCAAATGAAAAAGTTTCTAAGAAACCATTTAGGCTTTTGTTTTTATTTTTATTTTTCGAAAAATGTAAAAATCTTGTTTGATGGATTGTTTTTTAAAATTATTTTAGAATTGTTTTTAAAAGTAATTCACTTTTAACTGCATTAAAATTGTTATTTTGAATATTTAAAAAAGTATTTTTCGCATAAAATAAAAATAATATTAAATGGATTTTGAAGCAAATTGAGAAGATACTAAAAAATATTTAGAGATAATGTGGATAATAACATAAATACTAAATTAGATCATGAGTTTAAGTAGAGATTTGAAATATATACATACATACATATATATATATATGGAAAAAAAAATATAATATAAATTTTACTTTTCAAATTTTTTTTTAATTACTTTTTAAATCTCTATCTAATATAATATAAATTTTATTGTTTAAATCAATCGCCGTATAGAAAGACACTATGGTGACAATATACTCTCTAATATGCAGTGATCTTCTATACTATCTATCCTACATATTACAATATAAACATCTCAATTGGTATAGGCGAGAGTATACTGGCTAAATTACATTTTACCCCCTTATAATTAGATCAAAAAATGTGAAAACCCCCTAAAGTTTCATTTGCTATACTTAGCCCCCTTGAAGTTAGTATCAAAATGCAAAATAACTTTTTTTGTTTAAACTAACGGCAGGGGTGATCACGAAATTCACCATCCGTCTAAAATTAGGTATATTGAAAAAAATTAATTCACATATGTTTACTGGTTTGGCTGATGCGGATTGAACGGGCCGTGCGGGTTGACGAATGGATGCAATTGGTTTGGCAATTTAAACTAATCACTGTATAGAAACACACTATCGTGACAATATACTCTCTAATATGCAGTAATCTTCTACAATATCTATCCTACATATTACAATATAAACATCTCAATTGGTATTGGCGAGAGTATACTGGCTAAATTACATTTTACCCCCTTATAATTAGATCAAAAAATGTGAAAACCCCCTAAAGTTTCATTTGCTATACTTAGCCCCCTTGAAGTTAGTATCAAAATGCAAAATAACTTTTTCTTTGTTTAAACTAACGGCAGGGGTGATCACGAAATTCACCATCCGTCTAAAATTAGGTATATTGAAAAAAATTAATTCACATATGTTTACTGGTTTGGCTGATGCGGATTGAACGGGCCGTGCGGGTTGACGAATGGATGCAATTGGTTTGGCGATTTAAACTTTACAAATTTTGGGAATTGTTTTGAATTATAATTCATAACTTTTATAATCTCCAATAACCAGGAATCTAAAAAAATATGTATGATTTGTCTATAATAGGCCATGACACCACGCATATTTTTTTAAGGTATTATTTTTCATTTTCACAAATATATTTTATTATTTTTATTCTATGTTATTACTTGTTAGTAGTTTCTTTCTTTTTTTTTTGAATTTCATCTATGGGAGGACCGCATTCATACGGGTGTGAGATGATTGATTTTCCATTCGAACCGTATCTTCGAATTTTAAAATATTTCATCTGCATTCATCCGTTGAAAGATACGTATCTGTTCAAAATTAATTAAATTAGATCGATTTGATCAAATTGAACGGATCTATGATCGCCCATTACCAACTATGCATGAATTCCACTTACAAAATATTTTAGATTTTTTTTTTATTTTATAATATTATAAAATGACATTTTTATCCCAAAATATTTTTTTCCCCATTTCTTTTCCAAATCATTTCCCTTTCCAGTGAATGATAGAGGGAATGGTCTGTGATGAAGGGGTGAGGGGTTACGATGGCCGAAGTAGGGGGAGCTGAGGTGCTGCAACCAAAGAGGTGGGGAAAGAAAGGGTCTATACTATCTATGTATGAACGAAAAGATTAACAGATAATATGAAAAATAGGGGCAAGCTTGGAAGCTTCATCATTCCTCACAACTTAGAAGCTTGCCCCTGTTTTACGAATTCAAATTGTAGTTAATCTATGGACGCAAATGGTGGATGCAAATGGAAGGAAATTGAACCAGAAGAACAGAGAAAGGAAAAATTCATGGAGATGGTTATTTCAAAGAACTAGCCGTTTAAACTCCATTAATTATTCGACTGCATGGGTTAGGTTTGTTACTAATTTAAATCATAAAACAAATGCAAGTAGTGATGGTGTTTGTCATGGTGTGATGAATGAAGAGAATATATATATATATATATATATATATATAAGGAAACAATAAAGCTTTGTAACTCGAATTTTCAACCCCCGAATGACCCGAATTTCCCAAATTTTAGCACTCTTTCTCTCTGATTTTGGACCTCACGCACACTACATTTTCTCACCTCTTTATCTCTCTCTTAGACCTACCCAAAGTCTCCGGTGGCCCTCACCAACATGAACACCCCGTCACCGCGACCGCCGACACCCTCTTGTTAGCTCTAGCCCACATAGAGCTGTTATTGGATGGTGGCTCTCTAAGTCAAGAAGTATGAGGGAAGATGGCAGGTGACAGCCGGCCCAATAACTCTCATTCCCTGACTTTGTTTCCCTCTTCCCGTGTATATATATAGAGGCTGAGAGGAAGAGAAGATATAAGCAACACATAGTGTATAATTTGTATGTAAGAGAGTGAATTCTATAGAGGGTTGTGAGGTATGAGTTGTAATCTCCCTCTGGGATAATTCTATAGTGAGAAATATACCTCCATGGACGTAGGCTATTGCCAAGCTACGTAAATCTCTTGTATCTCCTTTCTGTGTGTGTGATTGATTTCTGAGTGTCATTAATCCTAACAAATGGTATCAAAACCCCGGTTAGTGAAAAACAGTGTGGCTTTCAAAATTTGTCAAATTTTGAAGTTGCTCGAAATCAACTTTTAAGCACACCAGGAGGTGCATCTCTTCGAGATGATTCAGATAATATAAAATTCGTCAAAATCGAAGCTAAAATGAGTGCCGTAGAGCTTGCCAAAGATTCGCCAAAATTTCACTGGAAATTTCAGTTCGGCTTGAACAAGAGGCTGTGACGTCATCATTACATCAACACATTTTTTGAAATTATAATTTAGCCCCTGAAGTTGTGGTAAATTGCATTTCAGCACCTGAAGTTTCTGAAATTGCAATTTAGCTCCTAAAGTTGTGGTAAATTGCATTTCAGCACCTGAAGTTTCTGAAATTACAATTTAGCCCCTAAAGTTGTGGTAAAATGCATTTCAGCCCCTGAAGTTTCTAAAATTGTAATTTGGCCCCTAAAATTGAGGTAAATTACATTTAAGTCCCTGAAGTTTTTGAAATTATAATTTGGCTCCTAAAGTTCTGGTAAATTGCATTTAAGCCCCTATAGTTTCTGAAATTGTGATTTGGCCCCTTGAGTTTAGAGAAATTTCATTGAGGTCCTTGAAAAAGTGAAAAAAGTTATTTTCTAGCTAATTTGACCATTCCAGACTCAACGGTGTGGTCCGTTTGTCCAAATTCAGATTTTTTGTACAAGTAAGAAGATGATGGAGGAATCCACATCAACTTCAAGATTGATGATAAAGTTGAATGCTTCCAATTATGGAATCTAAAAGCTGCGGATGGAAGATGCCCTATACTGTAAAGACCTGTTTGACCCTAATGCTCTAAAAGGGATTAAATTGGAAGTAGAGAAGAATGGAGACTGGATAAAGATGAACCAGAAGATTGTCGGTCAGATCAGACAATGGATAGACCACAGTGTATTCCACCATGTTGTCCAGGAGACATATGCATATGTCATATGGACAATGTTAGAAGAAATGTACTAGTCAAAGACAGCCCGGAACAAAGCCTTGGTGATGAGAAGGCTTGTAAATCTGAAGTTGAAGAATGGTATGTCTGTCGCCAAGCACACCAATGAATTCAAAAATTTGGTAAATCAGCTTGTAACCGTCAAGATGCCCTTGGACGATGAAATGCAAGCAAGACTACTGCTCAGTTCTTTACCAAACAACTGGGAGACGTTGGTGGTTTTTCTCAACAACTCTGCACCAGAAAAGAAACTGACCATGAGCACGGTCATAGACGCCATGTACAATGAAGAGACAAGAAGAAAAGACATGGAAGGTAATCAGTCTCATGCTCTTGTCACAAAAGATAGAGATAGAAATAGAGGTAGAGGAAGAGGTAGAGAAAGAAGCAAGAGTAGCGGCAGATGGAACAACATGAGTAAATCTAGAGACAATAAAAGTCAAGGTAATTCCAGCTTCACTTGCTTTCACTGTGGCCAAGAGGGTCACATAAAGAGAAACTGCCCAAGCCAGAAAGATAAAGGCCAAAGCAGTAAGTCAAAGGGAGATGAGAACACGACAACCACAACAACTGATGAAATACTTCTTGCAGTTGGTGAAGAGGATGATTGTCTTCACGTGGCTGACCACAACTACACAGAATGAGTGATAAACACAGCTGCATTCTATTACGCCACTTCCCATAGAGAACTCTTCAGCTCGTACAACACTGGAGATTTTGGCACTGTTTGAATGAGGAATTCTAGTTATTCGAAGATTGTGGGCATTACAGACATTAGTATTCAGACTAATGTCGGGCACAAGTTGGTTCTCAAAGATGTAAGGCATGTTCTAGATTTGCA